AAGATTTAAGCACTGCTAATGGATACTCAGATAAACTAAATATAGAAGCTTGTCTTGTTCAAAATGATATTTGTAATAATAAAACTTGCTTATAATATGATTTAACTGGATATCCTAATATTAAAGACAATGATAAATTTTCCTATTCTATTAAAGTATGTTCATATTTGATGTGTATACAGTCTTAAAAAATGAAATTTGTTAAAGCAACTACTAAAGAACAATTTATTAATAGTTTTTCACAACTTGGAATTGATTAATATACATGTTAAAAAAAAAACTGTGTTGTATTTTGTCAATATTATTCAGTTAATAAGTAATGTCTCTCAGTAACAAGAAATAAATTAAGTAGTATGACTATTTATGATCTTACTTTTAATTGGGCAGCTTATATACAGATAAGTTTTAAATGTTAATTCTAAGATAATTAATGCTAATCTTTTTCAGTTGTTACATTATGGGAAGATTTATAAAATTCATTAGGCTATACTAATTCCCTTCTCTAATATAGCATGCATATGGAATACAAAAATTAAAATTAGTAACTTGTCTCAAGATCAATTAAAATCTGTTCACAACCTGATTTGAATAAAATAGGAGGTAATTTTAATACTTTATGATAAATGTGCATTTATTTAGATAGTTATTGCACTTATAATTATGAAAATGTTGATATATAGAGATAAATAATTTCTATTAGAACCAAAGTGAAATACCCTCCAACATTAATAATATAATAAGATTAAAATACATTTGTCTACAAATGTACTACCTATGATAATAATATGGAAATATAGATATCACAGGTTAGATTCAATACATTTTTTAAATTCAGTTGTACTCTTATAGATTCAGTTGCATTCTTCCAAATCAACCCAAATTTTTAAGGATAGCCCTACTATTCATTGTATAATCAAAAGAAAAATAAGAAAGTCAGAATACAGCAGTCTAAGGTAAGCATTTTAAAGCAAGGAAATTTAAATAGATATTCTGCAACATTCAGCTTTAATTAAAAATATAAGTAGGTGCTCATCCACCTTTATGCCATAAAACCAAAAAGTACCATTAAAACTTTAAACAGCTCGAATTTTGATCTTGATAAAAGCTTCATCTTATCTTATGCTGTATCAATTAAATTAATTGTTATATTTGTATTTGTTTTTAAAATATTGAATGCATTATTCTCTTTCTTTTTAATCATAGTGACTATAGATCGTCATAACTTTATACATATCTAGAACTTCAAAATCAATTTAGAGAGATTCTCAAAAGAATCACTTGAAATTTTAGATTTAATTACTCATATCCTTATAATATTTTACATAGATTCATATACCCAACCAACAGGCTATCCAAAACCAGGAACTAGACAATCGCAACTATTGGCTATCTTGCAGAGAATAATTTAATAAAAAATAGGATTGTTGTAATTTATTTTAATCTGTATGTTAATGTAAAAACTTCAATCAATAGTGACGAATCATATTTTTTTAAAATCTATTGATTTTTTCCCATTAACCTTCTTTACATCCATTCACATTATATTAACCTTTATATGTGATTAACAATTATTCATTTGACTATTCATCCAACTCTTCCCATCTTCCAATCTTTTTTTAATTTCCTTCTTAATTATATGATCCACCACCGCTATATATTTAAATTTTCTTGTAAATAAATAATGTTTACATAATTCTCAAAAAGTATTCATAACTATTACAAAATATAGTGTCCCATCTACCAACCTTCATACCATTCATATTATATTCACCATTATAAGTGATTTATTTGTGATAATTAAACCCTTCATCCAATTCAACCCACTTTCCAATCTTTTTTTAATTTCCTTCTTCATCATATGATCCACCACCCCTATTTATTTTAATATTCCAATTAAATACATTGATTAATATTCTCCATTTCCAAACCTATACATGATATCCCATTTACCTATCTTCATCCCATTCACGTTATAATCACCATTATAAGTGACTTAAGCAGTATTCTTAAACCCTTCAAATACTTCTATCCATTTTCCTTTCTTTTTACCAACTGAATTATACAACCCTCCTCCACTAAAAATTAAAAAATAATTACATCTTTAAATGATTGAAAATATAAATCCATCTTCTAGTTCTAAGGTCATTATAATATTCTCCCAATAATATAACACACCCCTACTTCTCTTTCCAGATTCCTTGCTTTTTCCCATCATAATAGTATCCACCTACATTCTCTAAAAGATCTTCATTCCAAATTACTTCTTTTTTAATAGTCTATTCCTCCGATTAGGTGGGTTATTGACAGCAGCTGAAAAGGCTCTCCTCAAAAATATTCGTCATAAAAATGTAATTATATTTTTATTACTTAACAAATGCGCATTTATCTATTAATATTTATATTCATAAATATAATGGATTTATTTATTAAGATAAATAAATGTTTATTTTAAAACTTTAAGGAAATATAATTAGATAACACTAATATTTCTGGATTAAGCTTTTTTGATTGCAGATTTATCAAACGCATAGTGGTCTAACATATTATGCAAGGAAATAGCTTTTCAATTTTTAACAGTTAATTATTTTGGGTACTATCTGAGGAATTAATAATGAAATAAAAAGAATTACTGTGAGTTATTGCTATTTAATCTCAAGAGATGAAAAAGTATTCTATACAAATGGATCTGAATTCATACCATTAATTATAATATTAGAAAATGTGCGATAGTTAGAAATTTCATTATCAGAAAGTTATTGGGCAATAGTTTAAAATTTAGAAGTAATTTATTATGATCAGAAAAAAGACTATTGAGAATATCTTGGCTTTTTATTATTATTGATGACTAATCAGATGCTCAGAAGGTGAGAAATTGTTCTATTATGGTTTGAAGTTAACTTTGAACAAGTATTTCTTTCTAATTATTTATATAAAGCAATCGTAGACAAATTCGGTTAGTTCTAATTAAAAAGAATTTCATTAGAGCAATAAGGATAGTTATGATTATACTAACCATAATTATAATATCAATAAATTGTTCTCATTTACACTATAGGAATTATGTGTATATCTATCTTTTTTTTATACATTATGGATAATAATTGAATACCGAGTATGTCCATCTTATCAAAGTAGAATTACTTAATTTTTATTATAATATAACACTATTGATATAACTAAGTAAAATTGTTATTCATAGAAATTCCAACAGTAATATTTAGAAGTAAAATATATTACATATTCCTTTTGATTAATAGTTCTAACTTTATTGGTTATTATTGTTCATTAATCATCAAAAATTAATAGATTCATTATTAATGATAAGAAATGTAAAATTTAGTTTACTTAAATTTCTATTATAGTGAATGAGCTAGAATATTGAAAATAAAGATTTATTAACAATTTAAATAACTTTATGACTTTATAAAATTTGTTCACTTCAATGATAAAAATAAGCTTTATTCTTACAATAGTTCTGTTGACTTAATTTAATATGAAATAGTACATTTATTAAGAAATAATTAATTATGACACAATTATTTTATATATGAATTGGTTAATTAATAAAACTTTGTCTAATACTATTTAAATACTTGGTTTTCCTTGATTAAATTCAAATTTATTTTAGATCTTAAAATTAAGCTTAAGTAATGTAAGATTAAAAAATATTAAATATTGAACCACAATAAGTGTAAATCCCAGAGAATATCCTTAATTAAGAATAGATGTAATTCCAATAGTTAACAATAATAGAAACAAGCCAAAATTACAACAATTTTCAAATATAAATACTAATTTTATTTATTAAGTGGAACTTAAAGAATAAGCAGACTGCGTTATTTGCTTGGAATAATTGATTTCAAATTCAGATACAAATCTATAATATAATTAAAATGTCATTTCAACCATATATTTCATAAGAAATGTATCACTTAATGGCTGAATTCGATTAAAGTTGTCCTATTTGTAACACAGAATTTAAATGACTTTATTTATCTAATAAATCGTTAAAAATTTTTAGTAAATGGGTTTCTTTTTTTTTTTTGAATAGATAATATCTTCCAGGTCATAATAGAAAAAAATTGATTTAAAATTTTTCTGAGTATTTAATATATAAAAGAGAACAATCTCATATTTTACTAAATTTAGAACTTGAATTATGCAAGTCGAAATATAAAATTAGCCAATATTATGAATTTAATTAAATATTTGATTCTTTGACTGAAGTATTAAAACTGGTTTAAAAGTAACTAAATAGAGGCTTAATAATTTTATCAAGTTATATTTTTAAAAACTTTTGATTGAGAAATCTTTCCGAATTATTATTTTAAAATCAGGAAAAAATAATACTTAGCTCCAATCATTTTGATAAATAAAAGCTAAATTTTTCTTGATTTTTCTTTCAATCTTGATAATTTAGTGCAAATTAGGGCGGATAATTTTTTTTGTAATTTAACTAAGTTTAATTATTTTTTTTATTTTATTAAATAACTTGTTTATTATATTTTCAATTCATTTTGGGATAATAAATTTATTTAAGCAATATGAGTAATTTTAATTTTTCACTTTAGTTTATCACTTGTATACCAAAAAAAGAAATTGCCAAAACTAATATAACATAATTATTTCAAGAATTCTGCATATAGAGAGATTGAAGTGATTTTTTAAAACTGAACTCATAATTTCAGAATTTTAACTTAATCAGTTATTTAATGATTTGTGCGTGGCTCTTTACCCTCTTCCAATTTCCATAATGAAATCAAATTTGTGAATTCTTCTTGATTTTGCCAACCTTCAAGAGGAAATCTCCTTTTGGAATTAAAGCAAAACAGTTAATTGTATTTTCTTTTTATAAATAGACTATTATAATGTAATCTCCTCTTAGTTTTTATATAAAAAGATCTTAACAAAGTTTGATCCCCTTAAAGCAAAGTATTTCCAATTCATAGGAGTTTAAATCTCTTTTGCTTCAAAATCTATCTCCTATCATTTAATTATTTCTAAAGTATGAGAATCTAAAATTGAAATATTTTCATTTGTAAATTTGAATGTTAATTTTCCATTAGGATAATAAAATATCTACCCATGATTACATTTCTTCTCTAAAAATAAAAATTACTCTAATTTCGTTTTTACCAATTTTAAACATATATGATATAGATCTTGTTTGATCTTTTCAATGCAAGATCCTTCCCATCCTCCTTAAACATTGGTCTTTCATTACAATAAAAGATGGCCAAAATAGAATTATCATTAAAGTATACTTTAATTAATATATCTGGATTATTTTCATGGGTTTGCCCACTAGTAGGTTTAATTCAGCAGTCACATTATGTTGAATTCTCTACACATGAGAAAAAAAAATTTTTTTAAAATAAAAAATTTAAAAAAAAAAAAAAAATTTTACATAGGGGAAAAAAAAATTTTCCTTACCTAATAACTACCATAATCTTTTAAAATACCAAGATTTTTGATAACTACCATAATCTTTTAAAATACCAAGATTTTTGATAACTACCATAATCTTTTAAAATACCAAGATTTTTGATAACTACCATAATCTTTTAAAATACCAAGATTTTTGATAACTACCATAATCTTTTAAAATACCAAGATTTTTGATAACTACCATAATCTTTTAAAATACCAAGATTTTTGATAACTACCATAATCTTTTAAAATACCAAGATTTTTGATAACTACCATAATCTTTTAAAATACCAAGATTTTTGATAACTACCATAATCTTTTAAAATACCAAGATTTTTGATAACTACCATAATCTTTTAAAATACCAAGATTTTTGATAACTACCATAATCTTTTAAAATACCAAGATTTTTGATAACTACCATAATCTTTTAAAATACCAAGATTTTTGATAACTACCATAATCTTTTAAAATACCAAGATTTTTGATAACTACCATAATCTTTTAAAATACCAAGATTTTTGATAACTACCATAATCTTTTAAAATACCAAGATTTTTGATAACTACCATAATCTTTTAAAATACCAAGATTTTTGATAACTACCATAATCTTTTAAAATACCAAGANTATTTTCTATTTCTTTACAAATTTCCTATTAGGTTTAGGATATTTCTACTCTCTATTTATGGGTTTTAATTAATGATTTGTTAAGCCAATTCTATCTTTTAAAATTTAGATATTCTTAATTATTTAAATTAATATTAGTATGAACCTTTTTTAAATAATTGAATTTATTTTATGTAATCCAGTCAACATAAAAATTTTTTGTAGATAAATAAAAAATTTATATATAAATATATTTTATACAAGAATTATCTTATATTTAGGGGTATAAAATCATCATAATTCAAAAGAGAATTTAAATAATTGGTTAACGAAGTAATATTTTATTTTTGTTATTTTATTCAAATAATTCAAATAAAACTTATATTAAAGATTACTAAAATTGGATAAGAGTGGAAAAAAATAATATTCTAGGGGATTATTATTATATGACATAAGACATTGAAGTGGAGTGAATGATCTATAGGAGAAGGAACTGGATAATATTTAAAATATAGGATTAAACTCTAAGGTTCAGCTAGTTACATCTAACCTAAATAAACAGAATAATATAAATACTGAATATTTGAATGAATATTTTATTATAAGAGAAATTAAATGAACGGCTCAGATAGAATTCGAGGGAAGCATAACAATGGATAAAAATTTATCCTTATTATCCTATCCATCTTTTTTTATGAATTAGTTCTCTTTGATGGGTATTATGATAACTTAGTGGAATGATAATCATTCTATACTATTATATCAAAGATAATTACATAAATTAATGGAAATAAAAGAGTAAGAATAATAAACATGGAATGAGATAAATAAATACTATACATTTTCTGATGGAGGTATGTAAGTATCTAAAGAGAGAAATATAAAGGACATACACGTTATGTACCATATGGTATTATTTTGCAGAATTACGTTACACAAATAATAAAATATGGATAAATATTTATAAAATAAATGGCCAGTTGGTAAAAGGAAGTTGTAACTTCAAAGAATTGAAGTTAAATATACACAAGAATAGATGAGAATCACAGGATAGTAGAAGATACTTATATTTTAATAATGTTTCTGTAAAAATAGAAGTTATTCTTTAGTGAATATATAAACTAAGTGATGAAAATGGGCTTTCTATAATAATCAAGAATATAACCTAAAGTAACATTGAAATATACAATGAAGATAGATCATCCTTTTTATAAACCTACAAATAAATTAAACATATATATAGAAATGTTTCTTACTGTCTTTGGTAGGAAGTCGAGAAAATCATAAGGTTAGTTTCTAAATGCGTATCAATCAATAAATATAAAGGAAGATTAACCCAAAGGGTATGTGAAGCAATACAATTAGAGAATGATAAGTATTATGAGGATAAACAGCATTTACAAATTTTAAAGATAAATAAGAGTAGCTCATATCGTATATTATAGAAATAATAGAGACATTATATGTATTTTTATGAAGAATACCCATTCCTTAATTGGAAGATTACTCTTAGAAGCGAAGATAAAATTTCATAATATAAAGAAATAATTAGTCTAGATTTTTAAACTCCTTTGCTTTCCTCTGTATTAATATAATTTTATTATAAATCCTAAAATTTAATAGATGATTCTATACTTAACATATATGATTCTCATCTTACTTTTGAACAGTATCAATTGTGGAATCTCATATTATTAGAATATTAAATACATATTTTCAATGAAATTTAAATCTTTAGAAAATCTTTATCAGAACAAACAGCTATTTGATCCATTATAAACATGAATATGCATATAAATTTAAACTTATGTGAATTATCAAAAAACTATTAATAACCCTTAAGCATTTGAGCATACCTAACTAAGTTTCTTGTTTTAATCTGCAATTCTAAATCCTTATCATTTAATGAATGTGAAAATCTAATTTACCTCAGTTTAATCAAAATTTAGTATAATAACTATCAATTTTTCCACAAGGATTTTTAACTAAATCTCCTAAGTACTAAACCAATAGTTTTTAGTTCATCCTAGTAGATAAATAAATAATAACTTACTCCCTAATCCAATTGCATTCAAAATAATCATCATAATTAACGTTTTAAGCAATCGGAATTTTGTTTGGCCTTTAATGATAAGTAGTTAAATGATAATATCCTTTGCTGACCCAAGTAAAGCTAAGATTCTATTTCCGAACTTGCCATTATCTTCATATTTCAATATTTTTCAATTTAACAAGATGATGGGATTGTGATTTATTATTAATTCATTAAGCAGTTCTCATTAATCATTATGTTCACAATCCATAACTATATACGCATGCACCAACTTCCTTGAATGTGATATCATATCATAGTTGATCTAGCCCATTGTATCCAAAACAAACATATGTCCATACTAGTGTTGGCTTTCTAATGTAGAAAATCAATCCATTATCAACAGTACCTAAATTGTAAGTTGAGAATACAACTTCTCTCGAATGATACTACATTTCATCTTAAAGTATTTATTTAAATTACAGTTTCATCCAATATAGATGCAAAGAATGTGTCCTTAATCATTATTATTTCTAAGGCATCGGTATTTTGAACATAATTTTATGTACAATTGGAACAATAGAATCCTTATAGGTGAATTTGGCAATCAAGTATAACCTTCCAAATCCTTCTATCGATTTATAGGCAATCTCTCGGAATGCAACTCTTGTTCTGATATCTTCATTAAATGAGAATTTGACATATCTTAATGCTTATTGTTTCATTAAGAAAATTTCACCTTCCAACATTATCATCTTATTTGATATCTTAACTGAATCTATATATTTTTATTCTTGCTTATCTTCCATATTATCTCTTTTGATTTGCAGCCATGTATTTTAGAGTTAAAAATTCTTAACAAGAGAGTATTTGAATTGTAAATTATTTTATTAAATTAAAAAAAATTTAGGAGTTGATTTTGTATTATATTTTTTTTATTCCTTAAAATATTAACAGATTTTGTTTAGTTCTTGAGTTTATAATGATAATTAATTAATTAGCTAATTCTGATTTTATAAGTTTTATTACTATAAAATTTTTATAATAAAAAAATCAAAGAAAAATTGATTGTGCTTTGATTTAGGAAATATTTCATACAGATTATCGCTATGACATAATTAGGGAATTTTCTTAAGAATTTCTAAAGAAAATATAGATGAAAATCAGATAACAAGAAATTTTGTATCCAATTAGTTCCACACTAAATTTATCTTCTTTAGTTCTAAAATTCTTATTAATTGAAATCTTATCTTTATGATTTTATTATTAATGGCCACGATTCCTTCTAGGACCAGTCGAATAATAAAAAATTCCAGGACTTTTTTGAACAAATTGAAATCCTCCAAAACATTTCCAAATCCAGTACCAAACCCATATCGAATAAATCATCAAACCCTCCATTTTCTGAAAAGAAAGTCCGGAAGAATATTTATTCAGCTGGACTCTCCCCATTATTATCTGTAATGTTGATAATGTTATTCTGGTTTTTCAGTCTCTTACTAATCATAAGTTCTTCTCTTTGAAAAGTAATCATAAGCCAATGTGATGGTATTTGTTTACTTAAACAACTTTCTTAAATGCTTCATTAGCACTAGGATTTTTATTTTTATCTGGATGATAAAGCAAGGCCAATTTACAATATTCCTTTTTTAATTCATTGTGTGTAGCAGTCTTGGAAACACCCAAAACCTCATAAAAACCCTTTTTTTAAGGAATTCCTGTGTTTCTGCTTCTGTAGAAAAATTTTAAATATATTTACGTGTCGTTCAATTTTATTAAAATTGAATTTGTTGTTTCTTGACAGAATTGCTCCGTGTTGGCAGGATGTATTCCAAATCATATAATTTCTAATTCATTAGTTTGCCCACTCAAACTAGTAACTTAGTAAGAAATCTATTTAGAAATTAATTTTGAAGATTCATCACCTGGTAGAGTATTGATTTGACTCTTATATCTCAATCAAGCAGTCTTGGAACTATTGTTATTCTAATTTTTTAGATGGGCTTAACTTGCTTTTCGAGAATTGACAAGGATCTAATGAAAGAAAATCCATTTTTTAATTAAAGTGAAGTTGTGAAATTGAGCTATTTAGGTTCATCAATAGCCTTAATAATAATATAATACTTCTACTTAAGAATAGTAATTTGTGTATGTTACTATTTTAATTTTTCTTAATTGAGTTTAGCTTATTGATTTAATATTTGATTCATTTAAACTTCAATTCTTTATTTAAAATCTAATTTTAGTTAGAGAATTCGATTTTTCTTTGTAAACAGCAATTTAAGTTATTTAGATGAAATTTATATTTCTTTAATTTAATTATTAAAGATAGGGACTTTGACAATAATTACAACTTTGTTTGAAAGAGTGGCTTTTTTGTTAAATGCGTGAGGTTTAAACAATTTATTATGGTATTCAACTTCTTCATTTTCAGGCTAATTTAATTATTGAATAAATTACAATTAATTGCTTATCTATACCATAGAGTTTTTGATAAACTTTATAGATCTCAGAAAAGATTAAGTTGAATGGGAAAAAATGAATAAAATATTTTTCAATCATATTTCTATATATATTTTATTTTGTTGATTATTCAGGAATCTTTATTCAGTCGAAATACTATAAAAACTTAAATTAGTTAACATAATCTAAAATTTATTCAAGGATGAAGTACCAATTCTAAAGTTACTTCTTCGGCTAAAACCATCTCATAACTATAAACAGGAAATAATTCCTCTAAATCTACATATGTTAATTGCATTATCCTAATATTTGCATTTATAACATAGGATGATTATCTTCAATATTTGGGAATAATTTATTTTATTTCTGAAAATAGCAAGGTATTTAAAACATTTTTCTTAAATCTAAGTAATTTATTTTATATAGTTCTAGCTATTTTGAGACAATCAAATGTCCCTTTTTTAAACTTTTTCCCATAACTTTTAGAATTTGTTCACAATCTAACACTAAACCTTAAGATTCATCAAATACTGCATATAGTAAAGTGAAGGAATGGCTTTTAATATACCTCCTCAATATAATAGCATAATTAATTTTAGAGAATAAGACTGATGTGTATTTAACATATATTCTAATGTAATGTGAAAAAATTACTAATTTAAATTATAAAATTGTAATAATTTTGCAGCTCTGCTGTGTTGATAGAATTTAAGATATTAAATTTTCAATTAACAGAAAGATTATAATTATTTTATATATCTTTTATAATGAACAATATGGACTTAGTTAATTCATTTATAATGTGGGTAGAAGTGCAATTTTATAATATAATTCTCATATGGGTATTTTCCACATCCAAAAGAAATTTTAAATGTGTATGGAGAGAACTTAATGGGTGTTTAAAATTAGCACTTATTTAAATTTTACTAAAAATAATTATGGACTAAATAATCTAATTTAGAAATAATTAATATCAAATAAACAGATAAATTTGCAATTATTAAGGATAGCAATCAACATCAGTAATTGTTTCACTAAATTCTCCCACTTTTTCTTAATTTGAGTGGATGAATCAAGAGGTGATATCAAATCTGAAAAAAATAAATATCTTATCATCAAATTTGGACCTTAAATCATTTAAAAATAAAGACTATATTAAAACTAATCATAATATTATTGTTGGGATTATTCAGCATTAGTTTTCTTTTCTAAAATTGAATTGGTATTATTTTTGTAAATGTATAGCAGTAATAATACATTGAATGTTACTCTGATTAAATATTAATTTGAATTAATTCTAAAATTCATTTTGATTTTGCAATCTATCATTGAATTACATAACTAAAGGAGTTGCACTTGGAATATTCAATTCAAGCAGTTCTGTTACAGCATTTCAGTATTAAGAAATAATAAAATACTAAAAATATCAATTAAATTATAAAATTAATAATATAAGAAAGATAACTTACATTATATATTAAAGATTATCGGTGGATGGGCTGTTTATAATTAATTTTACGAGCATCAGTAGATTTAGTCAGAAGACAAAATCTACTCTAAACAAGGGAAAAGTCTACAGTGGACCCAAATATAAAACAAAGTTTTGTAAAAGGAGTT